TTTTTGGCGGAACCAGGGTTTGAACTCAGGCCTCACGCTTGCCAGGCAAGCGCTTATTCTGCTGAGCCATCTCCCGGCCCTAAAATCCTTCTGCCTTTGGGGACCTGCCCCTTAGCTCAGTTTTTTGTTTTTGTTTTTTTGGCGGAACCAGGGATTGAACTCAGGCCCTTATGTTTGCCAGGCAAGTGCTTATTCTACTGAGCCATCTCCCCAGTCCCAATAAAATTTATTTTTAAAAAATTTTAAAAAGAATAAAAGGAAGAAAAGAAAGATGAAAGGGCTGGGGGCTAGTTGAGGGATAGAGGGCTCACTTAGCATATTTGAGGTCTTGTTTGGATTCCCCAGGACATATACACATACACAAACACAAAAGGATACAAAGATGTTTCGGGAACCCAAACGTCTTAGTCATTTTCCTATTGCTAGGTTAAGTATCCACCCCCAGAACTTAAGGAGAAGATGTTTGCTTTGGCTCAGTTTTCTGTGCACAGTGGGCAGCTCCCAAGAAAAAAAGAGCTGGGCCGAGGGACAAGGGACAAGATGGAGGAAAAGCAGCTCATGCCCTGGTACCTGGAAAGCACTCAGGGAGGGAGAGGAATCCTTCCAGACCACGCCCCAACGCTGCCTCTCCTTGAGCCAGGCCCTGCCACCAAGAGCAAGCCGGTTCTGATCCCTAATCCAATTACCCATGAGGTACAGGCCACCATTGCAGAGCTAAGCCATACCGCCACATATCAACCAGATTTTCTCATCCACATGTTCAGGAAAGAGTAAATTACCCAAATCATAGGATGGGAGTCAGACAAATTTTCTAAAGTCTGAACAGGAAACAAGGGTGACTCGAAAGAGGCAAGAAAAATGGAGTGAGAACCACCTAGATGAAACCATTTGCTAAACTTTTACCGAACCCCACAGGCCTCAGGCATAAAGCAATTTATGATAAACCACTAAGATTGCACAAGTCCAAACTCAAAGCTGAGGTTCTGATGACAGCCAGCCTACAGTTGAGTCACTGCTCCATTAGTTACAAGCTCTGGGTCAAAAGGGCAATTAAATCTGTCCATCCCTCGGGTTCCTCAGGACGGGCACAAGGACAACCTTCCACCTGGGTTGTAAAATGAAATACTCGCCAGGTGTGGTGGTGCACACCTGTAACCCCAGCCCCCCGGAGGCTGAGGTGGGGACATCGCTGTGAGTTCAAGGCCTTCACATCAGTAGGTACTGAATAAATGACCTAGAATAAAGCTGCACTCGCTCCCTTCCTCCCCTGTCACGTTGGATCAGGAGGAGCAACACCTTGTTCTTATGGCCAATCTCAGAACCATGAAAGCTGAGAACGACCGCCCCGCTGGACAGAACTTGTGCGTGTAACTATGGCACCCAAGACTGTCCCTTCTCCTTCCTGAGTTCTTGGCATCAGATCACAGTACGTTTATGCTCAATGTTCTGTTCTGAATTGGCCTAGAAAGACATGGAAGGTATTATTCTTCCGGTATGAAATGCCCCCCAAAAGCTCATGTGTTGGAGCTGATTCAGAGGTGAGACCTTTAAAAAAAAATTTAAAAAATAATTACCAGTCCTATGGATAACGCACTACTATTAAGGACTACTGGACTGTGTTGGATTATTTTGCTGAATTCCGCACCTACAATATTTAAATGGCAATGGAATACCCATCTCTGACAAAACTAAACAGAAAGTGGGCTATAAATGAAGGACCATTTTGTATCTGTATATACAAAACAGTTAGGATAGATATACAGCTACTTTCTCTTAATTCAATGACAAGAAAGATTTGTACTAATAGTGTTTGGACAGGATATCATGTCTGCATCTTGTACTGTGAATAACCAC